GCAAATCAGTTTGTTTTTCTTTATGTAGTACAAAATACGTTTTAATCTACAAACATTCTGGCACAAATGTTTCAATTCCAGATCAGTATTACAGTTTACAGATTCGAACTATTATCTCTCCTTAAGCTGTTCGATTCGTTCTTTAGTTACGTACGAAGTATGTGATAAAATCAAGTAACTAAGGTAGATTTCAATCGCCTATACAACTATTCAGGACATTGACACTCATGAATTAAAATGTTAATCTCTACTTTCGATTATAAATATCTGTTTTAAACAATCAATATGTAAAGGTCATGCTTATAAAGTTTTATAACAAATATAAATACCTTTTTAATTATTGTCAAGGTTCTTTTGTGGGTTTAGAAATATATTTACCATCTAAATGTGATCATAAGAGAACATTTTCAATTTCGATTCATGTGGCGCCACCAATAATTCTGAATGTTTTGCATTCTTTACTTGGCTTAAATCATTTTTAAACACACCTTAAGTACAAGACGTGGGTTTGATTCAACACATATTCTAATTTTGCCTTCCAATATCAGCCAGAATGAGCCTATCTGATAAGGGGGCGTTGTGGAACATTTTGTTTTTTTCCAATCATAAAACATGTTTACAATCTTACTTTCCTGAATCACCATGAAACTGCACAACTGACTTTCCAAGGACAATGATTTCATTTCATTTCCAGGTATAAATCCACTACCACCAGCAAGCATTAAGAAAGAAGAGAATGAAACAAAGTAAACTGCTTAACATGCCGTTTGTCTATTGAAATATAGTTTCTTAGTTATTTCACCAGAGGGTATTTTTGCAAATAGGAAATTTATTTTCTGTTTATTAGTATCAAAACAAAAGTAAAAACCCATACACAAAGGTTTTGTAATATTAAATAGTTTTCAAACTGTCGGATTATTATGTGTTATTAAGTACATTTAAAATGATATGTATTTATGAAAATGTTTAAAACTAACCAAAATACAGCTGGTATTAAAAATAATAAAATAAATGTATTTTTATCTTCAGTATCATCACTGTATTTGATAGTTTTAATAAAGCTATTTATATTTTTTCGTATTTTTGCATCTTATGCATGTATGTTCTTGAAATTCGATACAACGTTATAAAAGCTAACCATACATCACAGATGAAAAAATATTTTATAAAGTAAGAAAAATTCACATTTTCAGTTTTTCAAAGTTTTAAAACCAGAATTTTCTAAGATAGACAACTTTAGTTCATAAAGTAATTTGTAACCTCATAAAAAAACTCACATCGATATTACCATTTCGTAAACTCTTTAATTTACTATGAGAATAGATTAAAACAAGACGAACATTAAATTTCGAGAAAGTACTTTTTTAATGAAATAATTCGTTTCTGCGTTATGCATGTAGTACAATATATCGATGTGAAAAATATTATAAACACGAGTCGCGTGAGAAAAAGTTGTTTATGGCATTGTGGTTAACTTGTTGGGCTACGTATCGAAAGGTCCAAAATTCGAGATGTGAGGTACGTTCAGCTGTAGATGCGTTATGAAAGTGGCAGTTAGTTATGTTATTCGCTTAAAAGAACAGGCAAGAGCCCTTGTGGTGGTGGTCACTGCTGGTTGCCTTCCTTCTGGTCAATGGCTCAAAACCAGGAACGACTGTATCTGTCTGAATCCTAAAGATCTCTGACCTGGTTATTCAGGTTGGAAATTCAAATTCCATATGAAAGCGACTATGTTTGTATTCGTTCTTTTGTATATCTTATGCTTCTGAACGTGTTTCTCGGATCGATTTGAGTATTAAATCATAAATGTTAAGTTTGATATACAGGGCCTGTTCCGATAACTCACTTGTGACATTAAAATGTTCTTTCTAATAAATGTGGGGATTTCGCTCTTTGTAATTTATTGTAATATACATACAATCAAATAATCTGAATCACTAAAAAGTGCCTAAAACGCTCTTTAAATAAGTAATCTGTGATTAATTTATCTTCGTGTACTCCAATAATATTATTATTTTTCTTAATCTCGAGAATTTAGCAGAAATTATTAAAAAAGAAATGGTGAATATGAAACATTTTCCAGCTATTCTTAGAAAGAGAGCTAGGATCTGATAACAGATATTTTCAAACACGTAGATAGAGAGCTAGTATCTGATAAAAGCTATTCTCAGACACTTAGACGGAGAGCTAGGATTTGATAAAAGCTATTCTCAGACACTTAGACGGAGAGCTAGGATTTGATAAAAGCTATTCTCAGACACTTAGACGGAGAGCTAGGATCTGATAAAAGCTATTGTCAGACTCTTAGACAGAGAGCTAGGATCTGATAACAGATATTCTCAGACACTTAGACAGAGAGCTAGGATCTGATAACACATATTCTCAGACACTTAGACAGAGAACTAGGATCTGATAAAAGCTATTCTCAGACACTTAGACAGAGAACTAGGATCTGATAAAAGCTATTCTCAGACACTTAAACATACAGATAGGATCTGATAACAGATATTTAAGAGGATGATTAACATTTGTGACGTCATCTCTGCTGTAGGTTGTCCCCCCATATTTTTTATTTTCTTGCTCAATGTGCAAGTAATACAAATCAAACAAATTACTTATATATATATATAAAGGAAGACAGTCCACCCCCTAAACAGCAAAAAACTAAGTTTTTCAAATCACGATTTAAGTTGGGTTTTTCAACTACTTCAAAATACAAAATTATGAAGGATACATAACATTAAAATAACGTTTTATGTAACTTTCAATTAGTATAATTGACACAAAAGTATGTTGTGTAATAACGTCAATAATACACCTTA